CTTCATATACACTGACTCTGCTCCACAATATAAAAGGATAGAAAATTTATTTCCGGCAGCAACACATAAAACTACCAATCACAAGAAAGGTAAATATGTGTCTTTTTTTTTAATGAGTGACATTTTTTTTTTCATCCTTAACATTCATTAATCCTTTATTTACAGGCGTATTCGTAGATCCCGATGATAAACAGAACACTATAAATGATCTTGAGGGTGAAAACAAACTTTTTAAGAGGTCTATAAAGAGCAAGAGAACAGATGATATTTGCACGCAGTACATGGCTGTACATTATTACAGGCGGTTCCGCTTGAAGCCCTTTACTTATGATGGAGAAAGACTTGCTCAGTTTCTACAGGACATTAAAGCTGTGTATCCAGGCCATGGAAAAGTCGGCCTTGAACTTAAAATGTTGGACGAACCAACATCAGAAAGCGAAGGAATTGAGGACCTGATGCCTCCAAAGAAAAGAAATCAGCCCGACAAGATGATGATATACCATTCATTCAGGAAGATGATGATAAATAAAACCAACAAATATAACTTTATTTTTGACATAATTTATTTATTTACATATATATACATACAAAAATTGCATTTAAATATTAAATTACATACCATTATAATCTATGTGCTTATTTTTCAGAGTAAGGGAACACAGACCAAGTTTTAAAACTGGAATAAATGATAAGAAAAGCATACAAGTAAATTGTTTACTATAATTTGTGTAAATGTTCAGATGGTCCACAAATTTTGATTTAATACCTTTTTGTTTTTCACTACATGAAATTGTTATTTTTTATTTCCTTTTAGAATTCAACCAAAAAACAGAGCCCAGAAAACAAAAGGATGGAAATGTTGCGAAAATGTTGCATATCTTTTACAGAAAGAGGTAAATGTGTATTTCAGTTATTCTCAACTTTTATTTTGACGTGAGAGCTATTCTTTATATATTTTGTTATTCCTTCATTAAAATAAACTTTCTTTCACAGCTGCAGATCCAAAATGTCATGAAATACTATGACAGAGGTAAGACAAAATTTTAACCATTCACAGCTTATGTTTCAAATTAGTGCTTCACTTTATTTTAATACTACTCCTTCAGTAAAAGCAACTGTAAAATTTATTTAGTTATTATTAGTATAAGTTTACCTACTTATTTTTCAGTAAAAAAAACTTTATTGCAAATTAGGTAATCCAAAAAAATAAATAAAAGAAAGAAGAAAAGAAAACTAATTTTGACAGATAAATTGACAAACATAGAGGTGAGTTGATTAATTTAAAGGTTTCCAGCCTACTTCTTACCAGAAAACATTTTATTGTTAAGGATAATTTATCACCCCTTTCAGGTAAAGAATATTGCAGAAATGAGAAATGAATCATGGAAAGAAATGAATCTTCAGTCAGAAAATATACAGGTGAATTCATTACTTTTAATGTTTCCAGCCTGTTTATTTTAATTATGTATTTTCATACTACGTTTATTATTTTAATTTTACCGTTTATTTATTATTTTAAATATAAGGATTCAATCTTACATTATTAACTTCTTAAACTTGCCACCCTTTTGTGGTAATTGTGTATTTTTGTACTATGTTCAATTATTATTTTCTAGTTAAAAAGAGTATGTAGTTAACAAAAGATTAAAACTAAACAACAGAAAGAACACTTTTAGAAAAAATATTAAAACATTTAATAAAAGTGTTTATATATACGCTAACTTATGTTTTCATTATCGTAACCTTGTTTAGTTATCTTGTATTATGAATATGCATAATATGGATATTTTGTTTAGGGACTTCAAAAATAACATTTTGCTGCCACTTAGACGAGGGAAGAAGCAGATGGAGAAATCAACTCGGATGACAAACCCAGTACCTGGGGGTATAGCCAGGTTTTTCTTTCAAGAAACACATCCGAGTTGAAACGACTGATGCGGGCCACACCTGAAAGCGAAGGAACTGAGCAACTGCTGCCACCGCAGGAAATCTCGACGATCATGAAATTTAAAATCTTGTTTACTTATCTTGTATTTTGAATATGCATAATATGGATATTTTGTTTAGGGACTTCAAAAATAACATTTTGCTGCCACTTAGACGAGGGAAGAAGCAGATGGAGAAAGAAATCAACTCGGATGACAAACCCAGTACCTGGGGGTATAGCCAGGTTTTTCTTTCAAGAAACACATCCGAGTTGAAACGACGACTGATGCGGGCCACACCTGAAAGCGAAGGAACTGAGCAACTGCTGCCACCACAGGAAATCTCGACGATCATGAAATTTAAAATCTTGTTTATTTATCTTGTATTCTGAACATATATAACATGGATATTTTCTCTACAAAAAACTCCAAATAGTGAACTGCCAAGTAATACTGCTGAAAAACTGCAAAATGTGGTGCTGAATGGTAAGTAATATAAAATATATGTGTACACATTAAAATTAGAGGATTATGGCTCCTGGCGAAACCTCGTAAAAAAAAAAAACGCATCAGGATTCCTACCTCCTAGTCTTACACGTACTAGCTTAAAAATTGGGATTATTTGTAACTATTTTGTTTCACTAATATCATTAATCACATTTCTTACTGTTTCTATTTTTTTTATCAAATTTAGATTTAATTAAAAATCACTTTAACCTGCATGTAACGTCATGTAATGTGAAAATAGTGCCTATTTTTTAAATGAAATTATATGATAATACCCGCATAAATATTTTTTATAAATAATTGATTTAAATATAATTATAAAAACTCTAATTTACAAAATTTGGTAATGCTTCAATTAAAATGAATAGTCAAAAAGCAGAAGAAAAGATTTTTCTTTTTTTAAGTACGTGTAAGTCTTAAGGTGATGTGGAAATGGAATCATTTCTAATTTCAAAATGCTTGTAAAAATTGTTCTTTTTCAGATCTGATGAACAGGCCTCGATCTATAAGAGTGGACTTCAGTGAAACGAAGCATTGGATTTTAACAAGGAATGAATCTATAACAGTTTTTCTTGTGAAAAAATGAAATTTTATAAGTTATCGGCATAGTTACTGTTTTCAGCGCCCAGGGAAAACTGAAGATTTTGTGCCCCTCCCGACTACTGGCCAAAAATGGAAAACATTCAACTCTAAAAATTCGTAACATCATTTTGGCCTTCCTTGGATGATGTGCCCACGGACATATGCCCCCTTTCTAGCCCTGGTTATCATATACACAGTTTCTTGTGAACTTGTTGACTGTGAGAACCTGGATACATATTTTCTTGCAAAACTGTGAGAAACTAGATAAAAATTTTCTTGTGAAAAGATGAAACTGTGAGAACCTGGATAAAAATATTCTTGTGAAAAGGTGAAACTGTGAGAACCTGGATAAAAATTTTCTTGTGAAAAAGTGAAATTTTTATATAAATATAAATAACATAATTTAAGAAGACAAAGATTGTACAAGCAATGTCATCTAGGGGTAAGTACCTTCATTTTGCAATATATGTTTACATTGATAAATTAAAAAATATGAAATTCTAGCATATTGAAACATAAGTTAAGAAATATTTGTTTAAATTTATTAATTAAAAAAGGTGAAATTCTTACATATTGAAACAAAAGTTAAGAAATATATGTTTAAATTGATTAATTAAAAAGAGTTGAAATTCTTGCATATTGAAAAATAAGTTAAGAAATGTATGTTTAAATTGATTAATTAAAAAAAAGTTGAAATTCTAACACAGGGAAAAATAGAAAATATATGTTCAAATTGATTAATTAATAAAAAAAAAATGAGTGCTATATACTGAAAAATAAGTTTCTTAAAAAGAACTTAGCATATATTACAAATACCTTAATAAATGTTCTAATTTTTCATTTCTCATCCATATATATCATGTTTAACTATCATACACTTACCTGCATAACATAATTAATTTAAATATAAATTCATTATTAATTTAAATGCCAAATAATATAATGCCGAAATTACATGCAAGTCAAATTTTTAGGTTGGAAGCTTTCTTTTAAATCGATTGTTTACAGTTTGAGCGTAAGTACTTCTTCGCCCTATAGCGTTTCATGCAAAACATTTCACTCGTTAAAGTACACGTTAATTAAAATTTCTTGTTCTATTACTTTAGACTGAATTACAATTAGTAAGTTATCATATCATGCTTAGTAATATAACATTAACTATGTTGTACAACATTGAAGAAATAGGGAATGTCAGGCGTCATCATGTCAACATGAACAAGGGTAAGTTCAATTTTTCCTTTTGGCAGTTCAGAATTGTTTTCCCTGTCCACTTCCCTCGGATAGGGAAAACAATATTTGGCCGCCATCTTGGATTTCGAAATGCGCTTTTTGGCGCATTTCTGAAATCCAAGATGGCGGCCAAAAACTCGCCAAATTCAGCCAAGAGCCGGGTATCCGAAATGAGCCAAATCATGATCAACTACTTAAATTAATTATTAGTCTAAATTATTAAAAGCAAGAAATAAAAATTCATTCGCGTTTAAAAAAAAAAAAAAACGACACGAATTTTTTCTCCTTTAACGCACAACAAACCAATAAACTATATACAATTCATAAATAATTTTGTATTCAAAGTTAATTAAATATTTACAAAATCAAAAATAATTCTTACCTATACATTCAGCAGAAAACGAATTATGCCTATAATTGCGGTCTGTGCAAGAAAAAAAATAATGATTAAAATTAATCAAAAAGACAATTAAATTTAAAAAATACTATTCATTTAAGTGGAAAAAGCATTAGAATTTTAATTTATTTGAATTTCAACTTAAAATTTGGAACAATAGATAACACTTGTATACTCACCACTACAACATCCCACCACGTTCGAGAACAAAATGGCGCTCGATTCGCATGGCACATTGGAGGCATGTTCATGCGCAGATGGTCTCTGCGCAACCAGTCGTACGTTTAGCATTTTTACCATGTTTGAGCTAGCCGTCCGACGTCGTACGGGTAGACACTTCCTGCCTGTCGCTAGTAAAAGAAAAGTCTGGGCCATCTGAAAAAGCGGCGACCTTTCTATATAGCTTTCCTCTGCACCTATGCTTGTTTTTTCACCCATTGGTGCAGAAAGACTTAGCGGGTGCAACAAAAGACATCTGTCTACTTTGTCAGTCTGTCTGTCAGTAAAATAGGTGTCTGCATAAAGTTGGAATGTGCTACAAATTGCATTTCGCACCTAAGTTTTTTTCGTGTAGAACGTAATGCAAATGGTAAATTTTTTAATAGATTTTCATCTAAATGAGAAATAAATATAATTTAATTTGTTTTTTTTTTTTTATTTAATAATACTTTTTCGGTTATTATTTAGTATGTCCTTCGATATTGTTGTAAGAAATTCATTAGTGCTGCTATCTAGTGGTAGTTCTAAAAAACAGTTTCATTTTTACGTAAATTATTGACAATAAAACTCTTGTTGGTTGATAAATGAAGGAATTAAGGTATGTGAAAACATTCGGAAAAATACAGAAACATTAACATCAATGTGTGTTTTTAGTAAATATTAGATAATTTAAAGAGAATGTGACAATTTTATTGCCTGAGTTGCAAGAAATAATCATGATTTCTCTGATATTTGGCTAGCTTCCGTTATTAGCGCAATTAAGTGAATAGCTCGCATGTTTTTTTTTTTAAATTGCAAATTATACTCTTATATGGAACGATTTAATTTTTGTTTAAACATCATTTAGCTAATCTTTGGAACATGGTAACAGGTAGTATGGCGACATTTTGGTAAGGCAATAAAGGTTACTAGCTAGGACTTTAGCAGTGTACATGGATAAAGTCAAGAGTGTGCGCAATGCCGTTTTTGTGCAATTCTGGGATGTTTTTTTAATTGAAAACAGGTCGACGTGTACATGGATACCGTGCATGTGCAACGCGGCAAGCAGTTTGCGATTCTGCACTTTCTCCCAATTTCGCACCTAATCTTCGTCATGATTAAGCACTTTTGTTCCATAAAAGTTCTAGCATAAGCGTAATTCGGCTAGCAGATTGGTGGAAAAAAATGTTGAGTAAAACAAAAAAACATGCCTTTACTTCGTGAAAACAAAATGGCGTCCAAGCGAAAACTAGCAGGTTGGTCGCCGAAGTTTCGCCAAAAATCGCCAAGTTACCATAATCCAAAGATTAACCCGTCATTTTAAATTTTGATAATTTTACGATTATTACCATTACAGTAACTTTTCAAGTTTCCAGATACAAACAGGTGTTTATGTTACCAAGCAATTTTCTTTGGAGAAAGTGCAGAATTACTTGGCACGTTTTTAAGAATTGTACATACTCGGTATCCATATACACATCGACCTAAAAATGTTTAAGCTGTCACATATGTAATTCCATTCACAATTTACAGGACGCTTTTTTACATGAGTAAGAAGAATTGGATTTTTGTCAATTTTCTTTGACTTTTTAACAAATAGGTCGATGTGTACATGCATAAAGTCAAGGGAGTGCACATGCCATTTTTGTGAAATTCTGGGATGTTGTTTTAAGTGAAAATAGGTCGATGTGTACATGGATTACCGAGTATGTGCAATTCTTAAAAACGTGCCAAGCAGTGGGTGATTCTGCGCTTTCCCCTTCTTACTAAGTTATTGAATTTCATTGTATTTTATAAAAAAATGTCTTAGATCATATTTATATACTCAGAATTATTCTTCTGTGGGTCTACTGTATCGCTACATCATTATGAATTAACAGAACCTAAACTCTCATTACTAAAAGAATATGTATTTAAACTTTAGTAAGTAATTATTAAAACCCTGTAAACTGATAACAGACTAAGGAGTTGCATAGTAATTTTAATGCAAAATTTTTATTCTTTTATATATTTCAAACAAGAGCATTTTATGCATGCAACTTTTGAAACACTTTGTTTATTAAAACTTTTTCATTACATATTTTGTTTATTAAGTATTTCATTTAAAATGTATTAAACTAGTTAATTCTTTTTTAAAGATATTATCGTGCTCCTTGAGCAACTGAATTGTGTAATTCAGTTTATAAAACTATATTCCTATGTTTATTTTACAGAAGTTATGGATGCAGAATTCTGCACACTGCATTCATATTCAAGTGATCAGTTTGCCATTCATACACATCTAGGCAAGAAGTCACAGGCATGTATTTTTTGTAATGTCCTAAAACTTTATAAATGAAATTTAGCTGTTTTGACAGATACAAAACTAATGCATTCAGTACTAGTTTGCTTCTGTGCAGTTTGTAATTCACAAAAGAAAAATAAATCTATTGCTGTTACAGTTTGATCATGACTTAGAATTACACTGGCAAGACTGCATGAGAAGAGGTTTTTTCAGATATGGTCTTGATGATATACAAACAAAACGTGTAGCTGGAAGATATGGTTTTATTGCGCAGGTAAATAAATTTAAGAAACAATAGTTTTATGCTGCATTCACTTAGTTTCTAAACTGTACAAAAGAAATCTGTAGTATTATTTTAATTTAGTTTTTGATAATAAGCCTTTAAATAATAATAAAAGTGATTTTTCTTAAACTAATAAAAGTTACAGTTTCTACAGTCTAAATTAATTAATTTACATATTTATTTTAAAATAGCTGAATATTAAACGAGCAGTCGAACGAAGAAAACCTCAGTTTGTTTCAGATGTAATTATGCCGTTTGATGCTGAAATATTTAATTTTACAAAAGTTAAAAAAAACGAGGTATGTTGTAATTTATCTGTAGACTCCAAAACTGTTTTTAATGTGTATTTTAACTAATTACAGCAATGTTTCAGATTCTTTTTCAGTTAAACCCTTTGCATCGAAAAAAAGATCAAACTTCTGTAAGTATGATAATTTATTTTTTCATTTTATTATCATGCTAATGTTTGTGTGCACTTGATGGTCTGGTGTATTTATAATTTTCTTAATAATTTTATTTCAAGTAAAATTTTTAGTGCGTACTTTTATAAGTGATACCAGAAGTGTATTGGTTGGTGCCAAAGCAACTTTGCCATTGGTATGGGTGCCAGAGATTTTTGTTCATGATTTGCATACTTCAGATTTCAATTTGCCATCTGTTTTGATAAGGCTGTAAGGTTAAATTGGTTAGAGTAAGGAGAAGGGTACCCCTTGTATTATCGTGAAGTTATTTTATTTATCGCCAAGTTGTTGTTTCATTTATGGTAGCCTGAGTAGTTGAATGTTATGGAAACCCTATTATGACATAATCAGTTGCATGATTGCAGTAAATTCATAAGGGCTTGTATGTGTGTTTTGGTTAGGAAGTATATTACTTGTTTTGTGGTTTAGACGGTAAAATGGCTGAATGTGGTAAGATTAATTTGAAGTTTCTGTACGATTTGGAAAGAAAGGGGAAAAGATCATTATTTAATTGGTGTGTAAATGAAGGTTTACTTAGTAGCCATTATAAGTGTCCTGTTTGTAGGAAGGAAATGTGTATGGTCAAACGTCAGAGCAGCACTACGGAGGATATTTTTTTTACTCTTATTTTGTAAGTTTATGTGGTGACGTCAGTATACAGATTCTAGTTCGGATAATTTTAGTAAGTTTTTTGATGCTGTTAAGAAATTTTGTTTGACGGAAGGCAAATAAATAAGATAAGTGGATATTTCCTTTCTGTAGTGCAAAGATGAATGTCCTTTTTTATGTTATTTCATTGTTTAATTTAAAATGTAGTTTATTGAGGTTATATATTTTTTTTGTTGGCTGCTCCTTTGACTTTCTAAGTGAAAATAGGTTGATGTGTACATGGATAAAGGGAGTGTGCAATGCCAAGTTTGTGCAATTCTCTGATTTTTTTTTAAGTGAAAATAGGTCGATGTGTACAAAACTCAGTATCCATGTACCACCAATTTTCGCCAAGGGGTACCCGTAAATATATTTTTACCGTTAAATTTAATTTCATTTAATCTAAACATTTGTTTACTAGACTATGAATGAATTATTGTTCCTTCAATCTAACAAAATCCAAGAACAAAAATTTAATAAAAAAATACTAAATGCAACTAAAATTTTATTTGTACTCCTGGGTGGTAAACGCCACTTCTTGTGGGCTGAGAATACAATACTTTAGATATTTACAAATAAGAGAGTAGATTAGAGAATTACCAACCAGATCCAAATCATTTGTAGCTGCTGGTGTTTACTCTATCAAATGTCTGAACTCAGCATAGCAGGTGAAAAATAAGATTTACAGTGCTGTTGACTGAAGTTGCCAATATTCTATTACAAACTTAATTCTTGCTGCTATTTTAACTCAATCTGTATTTCAGGTGATCTTGACTGAAAAAGCAGAAGTGCTGGAAAGATTTAACATAAGAAATAACAGGTTAATTAAATTAAACATTACAAGCCAACCTTCTCAAAGAATTCCATTCCGTGACAGTTTTGATGACAATATTTAGAATATTTCCTGGCAGAACTAAATGTAATCTTAATGTCTTGCAAGAATAATAAATAAATGGTATGGCTGTGTAAATGCAATCAAGTTTCATTCAAAACAACTTCTTAATGTCTCTATATTGTTCATTGTTGCACTTCCAGAACACATTTCCTTCAGTCATATGTAATTTCATAATATGAGGATTAGAGCATTTGTGACTTTCTGGCATTTGTGACTTTCTATGATTCTTGAAAAAGCTAATAGCTTCTGTTTTGTTACTTGGGAAATCCCAGAGATCTGTAAAGGAATTAATATGCACATAACACACTGAAGGATGAAATATTGACAAGCTAATAGAACAAGACTATGAACGTTCAGGGAGTGAATTCAATTGGTACTTGTACATTTAGTGGCACGTTATCATTATTTGGCACCAGCTGAAAATCCTGGTATTGCTTAATAAGTATGTATTAAGTTTTTAATGTTTTCATCTTTTATATTTTTTCAGAATGATGAGAAAAGTGTTTTGATTATAAATGTTAGCCCTCTAGAGTATTGCCATAGTTTACTGGTGCCTGGTATTGAAAATTGTTATCCTCAGGTAATAATCTCTGTATTGAATTGATTTCTAATTGTCTTGATATAAATTCATGATTCTAATAAACAATATTAAATTATGTTGCAATATAATATTAAAGTATGCTATATAATTTTGGAATATGTTGTATTATAAACTAGTTTCTGATGTGCAAAGGCTATGCATCAGTAATTTGCAACCATTTTGCCTCATTCCTCCTTTCATCAAATATCAGAATGTCATTCCTCCCCAATCCTTAAAATTTTTATTAAATGATGCATTCCAAATTCTATGCAAAACTTAAAATATTTTATTTTTGTATAGGATAAGATACTTTAAATTTTAATATATTATATTTAACCCTCTGAGCTTTACAGGTTTAGCCCTGAAATTTCAAAGTTCCTCAAAATGTCATGAATAAGTGATATTTTCTTGATTTTAATTAAAAAATGACTCTTTCATTTTGTACCTTGATTCCTTTTCTTCCTAGATACATCCAAACTGAAATCAGATACATTAGCAGAAATTTTCATGTATAATGAATGTGGAAGGCAACCTTTCGTATGGAATTTTCCGGCCGTAACACTGAGAGGGTTAATAAATATTTATTAGCAGAATTTTAAATTGAATGCCATAATAAAATTAAATTGTGAAAAATTTTGCTTAACCCATTACCTGTTTTGCCCGTTACACCGTATGGGTGTGGTTTTTGTGCCTGTAATGATTTGCGGCGAGCGGGCAATCTCATTTCTTTGTCGCTTTAACTGTTTTGGCCAAATTTTTTTCTATTTTTAATGTCAAATTAGTCATAAAGATGGCGGTAGTTGTTCACAAAATGTTAGTTTGCAAAGTGTATTCTGTTTGGTCTAAAAGTGTGGGCTTTTTCATAAGCTTTGCATTACACCGTGAATTTTTGTCTTTGAGTGTGTAGCTTTTAGCATGTATTTTACACATTATTTAATAACTTCATTTATATACAAGTAGTGTAAACTATCTTTATCATAAATGAATGCTTCAGAACGTATGGAGCTAATTTCTTCTGATTCGGAAGCAGAATCTGAAATATCTGCAAATGCATCTGGAAGTAGTGGAAGTTTTCTAGATGACTGCGACACTAGTGACTCAGATGGTCTCAGCCAAGCAAGGCAATTTTTTTAAATTAATTCTAATAATCCACCTCCTAGATGTGCTTTCATTGGAAATCCAAAAATTAACTTCAATACTGATGTAGCTATTGGTAAACTTCAGTTTTATGAAGCTTTCATGAATGATTATTTGCTAGACCTGATTGTTTTAAAAACAAATAGATATGCTGAGCAGTGCATGCAAAATAGGACATTTAGTAGACATTCTAGAAGAAAAAAATGGGAACCAACCTCAAAAGATGAAATACGGGTATTTTTTGCTTTGATTATTCTTCAAGGTATTTTAAAAAAGCCATTAGTTGAGCAGTATTGGAGCAAGAGGCATTCTACATCTACACCAATTTTTTCCCCCAAAATAATGTCATATCGTCATTTTGAGTTAATTCATAGTTATTTACATTTTTCAGATAATGAAAAATTTGACATAAATTCTCATGAGTGCCCAAAATTAGTTAAAATCTGGCCCGTGCTAAAGTATTTGAAAACTAAGTTCCAAGCAGTCATTACCCCTGAATGAGATGTCACCATAGACGAGAGTCTTATGTTATACAAAGGAAGCCTAAGTTGGAAACAATATATCCCACTAAAACGATCACGGTTTGGAATAAAAACGTACATGCTTTGTAAATCAAAGACTGGATATGTATGGTCTATGTTAATTTACACAGGAAAAGGAACTGTATTTGACGACAGTTACAAACATTTGAGCAAATCCTCTCAGGTTGTAATGACATTAATGCAACAACTTTTACATAAAGGATACTGTCTGACAACAGATAACTTTTATTCATCACCTTAAATAGCAGATGGCCTGATTAGTTGCAGCACAGATATGTATGGAACATTAAAACTTCAGAGAAAGGAAGTTCCTAAAGCATTGTTGAATGAAAAACTTCAAAAAGGGCAAATGGTCGCTTACCAGAGAGGAAAAGTGTGCATTTTGAAATGGATGGACAAAAAAGCCATGTGTCTTATATTTACAGTACATAATCCAGAAATGGTTGAAGAACCCACCTACAAGAATGATATAAAATGAAAACCGAGGGTAGTTATGGAGTAATGTAACACAATGGGTGATGTAAATCGAATGGACCAGAACCTAAATACTTATCCCGTGATAAAAAAAGGGGCTAGAAATACTAAAAAAAATATGTTTTCAATCTCCTAGACATCAGTTTATGAAATGCTTACGTGTTGTACAAGAAGCATGGTGGTAAAGATACAAATTTACAGTTTCAATTAGATATTATCTACTGACCAATTGAAAGATATGCAGCAGTAGAAGAAAGAAAAGGTCAACCTAGAAATTTACCAACTCCACTAAGACTGACAGAGAGACATTTTTTAGAGGTGATTCCACCTACAGACAAAAAACTAAGACCTGCAAGTGCTATGTGTGTTCATTGAAAAAAATTACAACGGCAAAAGAATTAGAAAAGAGACTAGGTATTTTTGTCCAGACTGTGACGTTGAACTATGTCTCTCGTCCTGTTTCAAGATGTATCACACTAAATCAGATCTTTGAAAAACAGGGTAAGTAAATGTAGTTGTAGAATTTGAAATCAAAAATAATTATGTAGTAATTGTAATCGGAAATAATTGCGAAATAATTGTATTTTTTTATATGCACAACTGTTACTTTAACTTCCTTGTGAGGCAACCATGATAGCGAAAGACAACTTCCAGGGAAAACATTCTTATTTTATGTTCTGTAAGAAAGTTGTTATAAATGCTTAAAATAATTAGAAATGGTAAAAGTATATCTTAGGGCACACCTTAGCGAAACTTGGCGGTACATGGATACCGAATTTGTGCAAGTCCTTGACTAGTTATTTTGGCTTGCATAGCGGTGATTTTTGTGCCAAAAATCGCCACTTCACAAAACCAAAATAACAAGACAAAGAATTGCACAAACTAGGTACCTATGTATACATCGACCTGAATTGCACAAACTGCACTCCCTTGAGTTTGTCCATGTACACATCGATATATTTTCACTTAAAAAGACAAAGGAGCACCTAATTCTACAGTAGAGGCAAACAAAAATACATAATCTCAATAAACTACATTTTAAACCAAACAATAAAATAACATAAAAAAAGGATTATGCATTTAAGCATTACACAAAGCAAATATCCACTTACCTCTGTGGCACACAAAATTCCTTAACAGCATCCAAAAACTCCCTAAAATTATCTGAACTAGAATCTGTATATCGGCGTCACCACATAAATTCAACAAAAATAAGAGTAAAAATCATCCTATGTATTCCGGACAGTCGAGACCTCGAAAACCAAGGGTAGTTATGGAGTACAACAACACAATGGGTTATGTAAATCGAATGGGCCAGAACCTAAATACTTATCCCGAAAATGGCTACTAAGTAAACCTTCATTTACACACCAGTCAATTAATGCACTTTTCCCCTTTCATTCCAAATCATACAGAAACTTCAAATTAATCTTACTACATTCAGCCATTCTACCGTCTGAACAATGAAACAATGTATTTCCTAAACACACACACACCACAAAAGCCTTTACAAAACATCCCATGATTCAAAATTTCTCGGAATAATGAAAACGATTATGTCATAATAGGGTTTTCATAACATTCAACTACTCAGGTTACCATAAATGAAACAACAACTTGGCAATAAACGAAACAACAGCTTGGCAATAAATGAAACAACAACTTCGCTATAATACAAGGGGTACCCTAAAGTCAGCTCTAACCTTAGAAATATTACTTTTAATAACATTTTCCAGCTTACAAATGTAAAATGAAGAAAAAATTGCAATAAAACAATGTGGCATTTTTTTGGATCAAATTCGTAAAAAAATGAAACTGTTAAGGAGTTAAGAAATGTGGAAAGCTTTTAAGCAGTTTTTTAAAAATTTAAATATCTGTTGATATATATTGTATTATAAAATTTAATATATGCATATTAGTAAGTGCTTGTATTGGTTTTTAATTGTTTGAATGAAACTTGCGTTTAATTATGTCAGTCCCATTGAATCATGCAATTTCAAAAGTTCTGAAAGCCTTTTGTTATAGTCTGAGTGTGCTAATTTGAGATTGAATAAATCCTTCTAAAACTTTACAATTCATCTTAATTAAGACCTCTCTTATCATATCACTTAAAGGATCTTTTCAATTACAGGATAACATGTATAATAGAATTTTCTGTTGAAGGATATATTTGCCAGCATGGTGGCTATAGAAAAAAAAAGAAATTTATTATTCTTTATGGCAATTCACTTGAAAATGCCAGAATAAACATAAAAATCTTTTTTTTACAGATTTTAGCTGACAACATTACCTATTTTCCATCTTACAATTAAATTAGTTGTTCTTTCTGAGAAAAGTGTTCTTGTTTGAATGTAAGTATTGTGAATAAAGTTTTCAACATGTGTCATTTTACTTTATTCTTCTGGTTATTGAAACAGCTAACATGGAAGACATAATTTGTAATGTTTATAAAATTTTACCTTTTTATCCTATAATTGAAAAAAATCCCATCAAATATATTAGCATTTTGTCTTTTCCATGAGCCTTTATTTCATACTTAAGTCTAGGTTGAAAAATTCTTCTGAGTTGTTGCCCACCAGCAGCCAAGCAGTAAAGTCCCTCAACACTGGTAGTTCAACCTGGATTTGATTCCTGGCGAACGGGCTGACTGCATGGTGTTTCGGGGGTTTCCCCATATGTAACATGGATACAAACCAGAAAGTCTTCCATGGCCTCAGAAAGTCTTCCATGAAGGCATTTCTTTCTTTAGGCAGATAGCGCTAGTGTGCTATGTGCTTTGCTGTAATCAAATAAACCAAACCAAACCATCTAAGTTGTTAAAATATTTCTTTATAATTGCTATGAGATATCATAGTAAATTAATTAATACTAAAAATAAAAATTAGCCGCAAGAATTAGCATAAAGTAAATAAAATATGCTGTATTAAAGGTCTAGCAGAATCTTCTTCAGCTCCAAATGATAGCTTACTAGGTGAGAAAGAAAAATCTCCATACCATTAAATAATACATTTAAGTAATGGAATATTTATAGGTTGAACTCATCAGCCAAGGGAGCTTTAACTAAGCTGAAATCCAAAATAAAGGAATACTTTTATGAGCTTGAATTTATGAATTTAATGAGCAAATTTATTGACATTTATTTTATTTATATATCTTCATGTTTTATTATTTGAATTGCTTGTTATATATATATATATATATAAAACATATTTAATTTAATTCAATCTTTGATATATATATATTCATTTGCAGCAGTAGCACAAGAGAATTATTGAAATTTAACTGTACTATTTGTTTTTATAACCTATATATATATATGGTTAAAATATATATATATCTATCAAGCAAGGTAGTTATTACAATACTGAATGACCAATTTGGTCTAGAAAACATCTTGCGCAATATGCTGCAAAATAAGTAAATTAGAAATTGTAATAAACTCGCCTAAAAGTTACCAGGAGCTGTTGTTCCAAAAAGTTCAACACGTTTTAAAAAATTAATACATATGAAAATCAAACCATTTAACATGTAAAACATTAAAAAACAAAATAAGATAAAAAAGGATATATATATATATATAATATTATATAGATATATGTATATATGGTAACCATATACATATATACTATATATGGTTCTTCTGCTGTGTTAAATTATATGCATACCTTTGACCACAATTCCTAGAGTCGCCTTATAAGGTTGGTCTTCCAGTTTTAGAATTAAGCTTTTAATCTGATCTTCATTCATTTTTCCATCAAAAGATAGCACAGCAGGTTTTATTTCCTGTCATTTGGTAAAAAATATCCCAAAGCTTCCTCTGTGTTCTCATGTAATCACACAATCTCATGTAATCACACACATCTGTTTAAGTTAATCAGCAGATGTATATATAGAATAAAAATTGTCATTTTACAAAGATAGATGCATGCCCAAGCTTAAAATTAAAAGCATAAAATTTCACATACTAATAACTTAATATCAGTAGAAGGAAGTAAAACGTTTTATTGGGGTTTGCCTTGACTTGCTGAATAGGTTTGATTTTTCCCCCCTCATTGGTGAATGTAATGGAGAAGAGATGTTATTGACTGTTAACTGATTTGCCCCTTGATATTGGATAAAGGATTTCATGAATATACTTTGAAAAATGTTTTTAATGACCATTTAAATGACTTGAGAAAGATTTCTTTTCAATGATAGCTGATGAAACAATGTGAGAAATAGCTTGAACTTTCGATTATGTCAAATAGAATTTCCGATGCTGGAGCTGCCTAAGGATCTACAAAGCAAAAGTATGTTTCGATGTCCATCAAACAAAAAGTGGAATTGCTGCAAAAAATGGATAAAGGCATATCCTTTGTTTCTCTAACCATTCCGAAATCTTTTTATCAATTTCACGCTGCTCTGCGGGGTCGCACCGCGCAATGAAGTGGAAGTTGATCTGTCAGCACAATCCTTATCTTCAAGGCAGATGTTTTTATTTGGCTTATAATTCCTTACTAAATGTAGTATTTCATCTTGATGTACTCCGTCTTTGATATGATTTCAATCAAATTCCTCATCATTATAATTCGCTTCCGATAGTGAACAAAGTGACAGAGGTTATTGAAAACGAAAAAATTTCAGTTGACAAATTAGTCGGTATTCTCGACACAGCAATTATAGGACTTGAACAGCGGAACTTTGTAACTGAAACAAGAAATTATGTCTGTTTATAGAATTAAAGAGAAAGTATTATCACATAAAACGAAGCAACTTAAACAACTTACATTGAAAGAAATGTTTAATAAAGTAAACAAATAAATATTAAGCTTTTTTTTTTGTAAATTTTGATACCCTTTAGATCATAATTGTTCTTTATTTCATAAATTACGGTTTCATATTTTTAATTTTATAATTTCTGCATGCCATCTTACCAGATTTAAACTGATGATCTATAATCCGGAATCGCTGAAGTCTCGACGAGTCCGGATTAAAGACTTTTGACTGTATTTAGGTTACTGACAGTATTCTTTTTGCTACCTTTCAGATTCAGTGTGTAAACATTAAGAATAAAAGAATATATAAGAAATTGATCGCTTCATTTCCAAACTATAATAATTCTTATTATTAATTATTCTGTTACAGGTATTAACACTTAATGGCCTTAAGCTTGGTATAGAAATGATGATGATAAGTTATAATCCGTAAGTCATTTTTAATGCTGTTGAATACATATTTTTCTTTTATTCCTGTTACAGTTAGCATAGTTAGTGGATTTTGAATCATTTTGATTTATATTTCAGTTCATTAAAGATAGGCTTTAATAGTTTAGGAGCATATGCATCGGTCAATCACTTACATTTTCATGTTTATTATCTGCCAGAATCTCTGTTCATCCAACATGCTGTAAGTATATATATATTTGTATAGTACTTGTAAAATATTATCATATCACGAATAGTAAAGTATTATCATAAAATATATGCATTTGTATATTTTAGGATAATACTTTAGTATGGTAAGTTCCTTATTTCGTAAATATGAATTGAATCAGTAATTTATTACCTTGTCTCTATGATAATATTTTCTTGTTATCTTGCCTTCTTTCCTGCATATGATATCAAAGCTGATATACATTTAACCGTTGCATTATTAAGATAGCCATTTTGGAAGACTTGAAGTAACCTTAAATAGGTAAATTTTCTGTCTATCGACAGAATATTAGAGAATGACATTATGTTCTCAAAATTTCTTTCTTATTATAGCACAAATTAAAAGTATTCAACAGGTCAAGCATGAGGAAAATTCTTTTCTTATACTCACAATTTCATAGCAATAATAGATGTTACATCATTTTGCAATCAGGAATCTAACTTTTTCTGCTAACTGCCTTTGTGATTTTTTAGTATTGATAGCTTTGCTATGATTCTGAAAGTATCATATCTCAGTTTTCTAATTGCATGCATGCTTTTGTCATAATGAATTGCCTTCTTGTATTGGTGCTATTATTTATTTCTGTTGCAAATTCTTACTATTCAAGAATGAAGTTAAGCAAAAGAAGTTGGTTCAGCAAAGAACTTTGCTGTTTGTGCATCAAGGTAAACTTACAGAAGAATCGAGACTTGAAAACCAGTTTTTATCAATTTGAAGTCCACTGTTTTCGCAGTGAATATTAATACATTAATAAAATTTGATATGATAAAAAGTGCATTTCTTTCCCTTTAACATGTAAGTTTTATCCTGATTGGGGGGGGGGAGTTAGTTCCTTTCTTAATATTTCATTTTATTTGGTATTTCTCTGTGTTTCTTCTGGATAGAATTTTGTTGTAAAATTTGGTCATTGTTTGGTCACTGCCTCTTTTTTTAGTTTCTTCTCATCACTTTCTACCCCTGCAATAATGATACATTAGGTATCTTCTGAATTAATCTGTAGGTACTTACTAAAAGGGCTTTAAAAGTTTTAGGTAAGTTTTGCTTTAACCCTTTGCGGCAGCTAAAAATTTCCTTCTGTGTGCACAGAAAAATTTAATGAAAAAGTATTTATAGGTTACTCTAAACCTTCTCTATTTATAGTAGATGGCAGCTCAACACAAACCAGTCCATATATTTTAGCCATGTTTAGTTTTTTAAGACGCTCATTTTTTAAAGAAATCTTCCAGATTTTTTTTAGGGCATGAAAGGAATTGTTTGAAAAGAAATTTCTATGTTATTTTTTTGGCTGTATGCTAATCTCCTTATTCTTTAATCCGGAATGATCTATAATCCAGACCTCAAAGCTACAAACTTTCTGCGCATGCGCATGTTGGCAGTGGTGATAAAGGCAAAGCATATTTTGCTTTCCTTAAATAAAGCTAAGACAAAACTAAATAAAATTCATGCTTTATTTCTCTTCTGGGGTGTACGCGTTCATGCGTTCAACACTAATTCCATTTTCGGCTAAGTACCCTTCGAATTGCCTGTTACAGAATTCCCCACCATTATCGGTGCGTATACTTATTAATTTTCTATTTGTCAGTCTTTCCATTTGCCTATGATAATTCTTAAAGTTGTAGAACGATTTGTTTTTATTTTTCATACAATACACTGTTACTAATCTACTATAGTCATCTACAATAGCAAGGAAAATATTTACTCCCACCCTTAGATGGAACTGGTAGTGGGCCACAAACGTCTAAATAAACCAACTGCAATGGTTTATCCGATCTCTTCGGAACAGTTTTAAAAGTTATTCTACTAGATTTAGCAATAATTACACGATTTCACACCTCTCTATTGGTTTTTCAATTTCTGGTAACCCTTTTCACGCTTTGATTCTTACTAGTTTTCTTAATATAATCAAAATTTACGTGGCTAAATCTCCGATGCCATAGCATTGCATCGTCTACTTTATTTAACTTTCCAAAATTTCTGTAACCGTAACCCGCTTCCCTTTATACCTGTTGCATATCTAAATGGTTTTACGTGATAAAGTCCGTCATATCGTTTAGCGTAGCATAATCTATCCCAATTATTAAAGTATATCCACATCTTCCCTTTTGAAATCACAAAATGAGCACCAGCCTTTTCTAACCTTGCTCCCGATAATAAATTTCTTCTTAGATTTGGATTATATAACACATTATCTAACTCAATCCAATTTATTTGATTGCCTACTTTTACTGCAAATTTGACAGTACCCTTTCCTAGTACTTTACTTTCACAATTTCCTATAGCTAAAGACATACGTATATCGTTTATTTCTTTGAAATTTGTCATTAAATTTCTATTATTACTGAAATGAGTTGTAGCTGCAGTATCTACGACCCAATTAAATTTATCTGCGTTACCTCCTTTATCTCCTTTATCTGTAGTTGTTACATAATTTTCTACTAACATTAATTCTTTATCTTTAAACTGTCCATTTTTATCGTCTATTTTAAACTTCTGATTTTTACTTACATTTTCTTTACATTGAGCAATTAAGTGCCCAAATTTATGACATCTGAAACAAGGTCCTATTCTCATATTCCCCATTTTTTTCTTAGATTTAGTTTTATTTTCAACTTTATCTTTCTCTGCATTTAAACTAATAGTATTAAACACGCTTACCTTGCTGTCTTCTAATCGGCGTTTACCGAAGTCGGCTTTCCTTCCCTTAAGTCCAGCTTTTTCTTCAGCAATTCTTTCCAGCGTAAAATCTTCGTCCTTCCACCTATAGATCAATTGTACAATGCCGGAGTATTCCTGGGGTAATCTCCTTATTGCCTGAATCCTTTAAAAGGATCTGCCAAGTTGTGACCAGCTTCAGCCAACTTCTTTGCAGTCATTCTTATCCTTGCGATGAATAATCCTATTCTCTTCATTTGGCTATATCTAATACTAAAAAATTCATCCAGTAACTGAATTATCCTTGCTCTTGTTTTTGAGTTCGAATTGCTTGTTTGCTTCTTTACCACTTGAACATTTGTATCAGCGGCCTGAACTCAGCTTTTTCCGTAATATAATGTAGTGAAGGCTCTGTTCTCCTCCCAGTGTGAACTCCTGCTTTTCATGCCTTGTTGCACTTTTATCTAATTCTTCTTCTTTGCCCTCTATGAAGCTCCAACAATTTCCTATCCAGTACCAACATTTTCATGTCGACTTTCCATCGATCCCATTTGTGGTTTACCCCCCCCCCCCTTCCCCCCCCCCGACACTTCCCCCCCCCCCCCCCCCCCCCCCCCCCCCAAACTTCTAAGACGGTCCCTTCCCCCCCCCTCCCCCCTACACCCCCCCCCCCCCCCCCCCCCCCCCCTGGATTAGCTGTTGGCCGCTGGACCCATAACCCTGATGGCAGTGGGGTAAGGCAAAGCATAATTGTGCTTCCCTTAAATAAAGCTAAGACTAAACTAAATAAAACTCATGCTTCATTCCGTAAATAAAATAAAAGAGCTAACACTGTAGCCTTTACATTTAAAATCATTTAGTGAAAGCGAACTAGCATAATGCTAATGATAATCACACAAGATAACAAGAACAAGCTTCGCCGATACCGGCGTACATATATTATATACTCGGCCACCCACCGATCTTGACGTCGTCATTGGCGGCAACCACGTTAGCTTACCGCCGATTGTCCTCCGATCAAAATTTGCATGTGGAAAACTAAAGCCATACTTGTTTAATGCCCGTTTTGCAGCTTGCATTGTTTCTTAGTCTTCTAATTGGATCCGTTATTTTTTTTGACTGTTAGAGCATTCTTAAACTTTGTTATGTAAAAAGTTTCCGATTCTGAAGCTGTCTAAAAGCTAAAGCCCACAGCACATTATGTGTTATGCATGCGTGAAGGCTCGTTGGGATAAGCTGGGCACTCCTTATGAAGGATCTGCCAAGTTGTGCCAGCTTCAGCCAACTTCTTTGCAGTCTTCTTATCTTGCGATGAATAATCCTATTTCTTCATTGTATATCTAATACTAAAAAATTCATCCAGTACTGAATTATCCTTGCTTTGGTTTGGTTCGCTTCTGTAGAACTTCCCATGCTTCTTTACCACTTGAACATTCTGTATCAGCGCCTGAACTCAGTTTATTCGTAATATAATGTAGTGAAGGCTCTGTTCTCCTCAGTTGTGAACTCCTGCTTTTCAGCCTTGTTGCACTTTTTATCTAATTTCTTCTTGTCCTCTATGAAGCTCCAACAATTCTATCCAGTAACACATTTTATGTCGAATTTCCATCAACCCAGTGTCATGGTTTAACAACTCAAAACCTTCAGTAGTAATGACATCTTCATTAAGTTTGCGCACAACGACTTGAACAAACTTCTAAGACAGGTCACTTCTTTTTGTGGATAACGGCCCTCTTCACCTACATTCCTTCAATGCTGAGTTGAACTGGATGACTGATTAGCTGTTGGCGCTGGACCCAAACCCTGGTGGCAGTGGTGATAAGGCAAAGCATAATTTGCTTTCCTTAAATAAAGCTAAGACTAAACTAAATAAAACATGCTTTATTCCGTAAATAAAATAAAGAGCTAACACTGTAGCCTTTACATTTAAAAATCATTGAGTGAAAGCGAACTAGCATAATGCTAACTGATAATCACACAGAAACAAGAAAACAAGCTTCACACGATACCGGCGTACATAATATTATACTCGGCCAACCCCCGATCTTGACGTCATTGGCAACCACGTTAGCTTACCGCCGATCGACCCCCGATCAAAATTTGCATGTGGAAAACTAAAGCCAATAGCATGACATAATAGTTATGCCTTTAATGTATACGGATGGTATAAGCTGGCTAAAATTATCTATTTTCAGTTAATGTTGCAGCTTGCATTGTTTCTAGTCTTCTAATGGATCCGGCTTATTATTTTTTGCGACTGTTAGAGCATTTATAAAAGTAAATTAAACTTTTGATATGTCAAAAGATTTCCGATTTGAATG